TCCTAAACTTTCAACTCTAAATATATTCACTTTTCATGGATCAAATATTTTTCTGCAATCATTCCCCCCTCCCTGTACTGTGAATCCAACTCAAGACCTTTGGCTTGCCAGTCAGGCATGGCACAACTGAGCTACATGCCCAGCCCTCCAATATTGTTCTAAACTAGTGGTTCTCAGTGCATGACTGAGACTTGACTTTCAGGGTTCATGAGATCAAAGCAGTCATCATAATCATATTAAACTGTTATTTACATTTTCCCTCTGTAACTTCGTGAGAATAGTGGTAGCTTTCGGAAACTACATGGTTTGAAATTTTGCAACAAGTTGGCTGCAAATGCAATATTAGAACCCAAGATGTCTTCTCTTAACTCAAATACTAAAATGTAAAACAACATCATTTTTTCGCCCAAGTTTTTCTCCAGAACATAATGTTATTTTTATAAAACTGTTATTTGTGTTAACATGTAAATAAATTGATTAGAGCAATCCCCCATCTCAGCCTCCAAAATGGATTATTTTAAACTGAATTAATAAATATATTTTAAATTTCTGAATTTAAATTTTGATATAGTAAATATCAATTAAATTAACTCACATCAACAAAGGTTCTTTGGGGCCCTCAGTAACTTTTAAGAGTATGAAGAAGACCAATAAATTAGAGCAATGTTGCTATAATCAATAGATTTCTGTGGCTAAATTCTACATAAAAACTTTTAGTATGTGATTTTAAGACTAAATCAGCAGGATTGTGAGTTTGAGGTCAGCCTGGTTTCATAGTGAGACCTGTCTCAAAACAAACAAAAGAAAGCAAAAAAAGTGATTGCACAGCCTAGAAAATTGGGAATGATAAAGATAATCTACAAATTATGAAAGAAGATGCATTATTTTTTTAAAAATCCAATAAACTCATAAGTTGAGACACCTGTCAGTTATTCATTCTCTCTTATAGTTCACATCTGAGTCCCTGTACTTAGGGCACAAATAACACTTCTAATGCTCACCAACTCATTTAAGCTGATGGTAAAAATAACAGCTGGAAAAAAAATTTAGTGACAAAATCAAACACTATTTTAAAGGTCTTGAAGAAATGAGCTTTTATTTCATTAAATGTAACATGTAGCTAGAAAATTGTTAATGACAATTTAATTGTTAATGACAATTAAGGCATTGAAACTTTCAGTGTATGATTGCAGATATGTTAATCATCACTATGGTTGAATTAGAAAAAAATAAAGGTGTTAAGAATTAAAGAAATAAAATTTATCTGGGGAAAGAAGAAGCATCTACAACTGAGGAACACCCCCCCACACACACACACAGAAAAACCTCACATGGAATCATCTCATTTATTTTCTCTATTTTTGATGTACAACTTTAGAAGGCACTAACACCTTTTCTAGCTTATTTTCTCCTTTGAGCCCAATCAAGAAGCTCATATTGAACACCTAAATGAGAAGCATAATCATGATTAAATTTATTAAAAAGAGTTTGGGCCAGGGATTTAGCTCAGTGGCACCATGCCTGCCTTGCAAATGCAAGGTCCTGAGTTTGATCCCAGGTACCAAAACAAACAAACAACAAAAAACAAAAAACAAAACAAAGAGTTTGATGTGGGAAGGTTGATAGTGGTATCTTTAAAATCAAGACTTTTGTTCATCGTTTTAGCTTAACCAAATTTGGTGAGTAAAAGGAAACTGGTCATATTTCGGGGTTATTTTCTGGGTCGCTACACATAAGGCTCAACAACATGGTAAGCCAGGCTTTGTGGTACACACCTGTAATCCCAGCACTCTGAGAGGCTGATGTAGGAGAATTGCATATTTGAGCCCACCCTGGGCAACTTAGTGAGACCCTGTCTCAAATTTAAAAAAATAAAATATA